TTTTCTGGGTGCTGAAAAACCTGTTTGGGAGAAGCCTTGAGCATCTTCAGCTGCTGAGCAAAGCTGTGCCCTGCTCACCTCCAGTTCTGCATGAGCAGCACGTTGGAACAGCAGCAGCTGCTGGCCTGGGAAGGCTCCCCCAGCTCAGAGGCTGTGGTCATGCCACCCATGGCACATGGTGAGCTCCACGTTGAGCCCCAGGGGAATGAGCCCACGCTGGCAGAGCAGGGCCTGAGGGGTGCATGGCAGGATGGAGAGCAGCACAGATGGCTTCTTGTTGATGCTCCCCAGCTCTGGAGAGAATCCCAGGCTGATTTGGGTGGGAAGGGACCTTTAGAGGTCATCTGGTCCAACCCCCCTGCAGGGAGCAGGGACATCCCCAACTAGTTGCTCAGAGCTCCATCCAACCTCACCTGGGATGGTTCCAGGGATGGGGCAGTGACCACCTCTCTGGACAACCTCAGCCAGGCTCTCCCCACCCTCATCATCCAACATTTCTTCCTTCTCTCCAGTCTCCATCTCCCTTTTTGAGTTCAAACCCATCCCCCCTTGTCCTGCTGCAACAGACCCTGCTACAAAGTCTGCCCCCAGCTTTCTGACAGGCCCCTTGAAGTCCTGAAAGGCCACAAGAAGGTCACCTGGCCTTGGGTTGCTCCTTCTTCTTGCATCCTCAGACAGAGCTGAGGTTTTGCCTAAATTAAAGGGCAATTCACAAGCTCCCACACACCAACTGTGATCGCCCAGGTCGCCTTAGTGCAACCAACTGATAATTGCCAGAGCTTAATTGACAATTAGTTGGAGCCAATTCCCAATTAAATATTTAACTTTGCTCCTTGGGTCTCGCTTTGATTTTTTTAGTATTTCTTTTCCTCCTGCCCGTGCCTACATAAACAGCAATTTCTCTCCTACCAGGGTTTGAATGTTGACATGATTATAACAACCAGCTTCTGCCCGTGCAAGCCCCAGGAGGGCTGGCTGGCTCTGCAGGTGTTTCCCAGCCTGGTTGTTGGCTTTGCATCCCCACTGCTCAGCTCCAGGCTCTTATCCCAGCAAAAATCTCTCTTTTGTTCTACCCAACACCGGGTAAAAATCTGGGCAGCGCTCACAAACAGGTTCCTGAGGTTTTGCTCAGGTTGCACAAGAGCTGTCGTTTAGCCTATCGTGAGCAGCAAATTAGTCAAGTGGAAGCACAGTGATAGCAGGAGGGGGATTTTTCTGCTGGCAGAGCTGTACACCCCCCCCACTGGGCAGCCGCTCCCCTGGCAGCTCCAGCCAGCCCTGGGTGCTGCCATTCCTCCAGCTCTGAAGGAGATGCTAACGCTGCACTTCTCTGCAACAGGT